TATCAAAGGCCTTGTCTGATCCATCCAATTGGTAGTGCTTTCTCCTAGGTTTCTTTGTATTTATTTACTAATGACTGATCTGTGTAGAATGTCAGTCTTTTAAGGACAGGGAGCTTTTCTTTTTCTTTTTTTTTTATCTATAGCATGGAGTACAGTGCCTAGTACATGTCAAGTGCTTGATCAATGCTCGTTGAATTGAACAAAATTGAAAACTGTCTCTGCCCTGGGATCGAGTCACATTGGTGTCTTGCTGTACCTTTGGGTGGCTTGAACTGTGGCTTCCTTAGAATTCTTGTCTTGACTTCTAAGATTGATTAGGATCCAGGAAGTCATCAAGGTGGGTCAGAATAGACCTATGGGTTGCTGCTGACCATGGTAAATCACTAACTCCCCATGACCTGTCTTGATCTCCTGTTTTCCAGGCAATCCAAACCAATCAGACCCTGACATTTTCTCTTTCCTGGCCCTGATTCCACTTTCTTCCTCACCAGGCTTTCTGAGAAGAAAAAAAAAGCTTGCACATAATATTTTTGAGTTTAATTTTCACTCATCAATGGCAAGAAATGGCTGAAGATTAGAAGAGGGATGGGTTTTGCTGTTGTTTGACTTTTTGAATCAACAATAAGGGCAAATGTTTTTTATTAACATTTTTTGAAGCCTTGTTGTTGCTGAGTCATTCAGTTGTGTCTGACTGTCATGACCTTGTGGACAATAGCACTCCAATACTGTCCATGGGGTTTTCTTGGCAAAGAAGAGCAATTGTCTATCATAAGGCGAGAGGCTCCAACTGACTCCAGCCCATTATTGCACCTGGTATTACCACGAGCTTCTCCTAAAAGGTCTCTTTGCCATTTTCCCCAATAGTTAAAAAGCATTACCAAATTCATTCTCTTCATTAGACACATGGACACTATCAAAGAGAATGAAAGTAAAAGGTTTTGCCAAGTATAAAGCAGGATTTAAAAAAAATTAAAAACATAAAAAATGATGATCTTTTGCCTATCCCGAACTCTTTATGGGCATTTTTTGCAGCCACTCACAATTTGCTACCCCTGCCTCCGTCTCCTCCCTCATTTCCCTCTGATTTTTTCTTCTTATATCAGTTTCTCTTTCAAATATAATATGGCAGTGTAGTAAATAATTGGCCTCAGAGCCAGGAAGACCTTGGTATGAGTCTCATCTCTGACACCTTCTGTTGGTTATTTGCATGTTGTGTCCCCCATTAGAATGTAGGGTTCTTGAGGGCAGAAGATATGTTTTTGCCTTTCATTGTATCTCCTACGCTTAGTATGGCATTTGTCAGAAAACACTTAATAAGTGCTTGTTGACTGACTGACCCTGGGCAGCTCTCAGTTGACTCTGGGCAACTTTCTAAGACTAAGTTACAGACCAATTGCCAAGCTGCATTGGTAGAAGGAGTATCCTGTTGGAGTTCCCATCACCACTGAAGGCGTCACAGGTCCAGACCAAAAAAAATAAAATTCCAGCCTGGTGGGCAGATCTCTTTTAGAGATCTTCTTAATCATAGAATCCGTCTCTTAATTCTCCTGTGTCCCAAATCTCATCCAAAACTCACTTCAAATCCTAACTTTTTCCAATCTAAGAAAGGTAAATGTGGTCTCCATAGCAGATAAAGACAGGTTTGGATTTACGTGATTGGGTTTGAATCCCATCTCATGTTTTCAGCCATGTGACCATAGCCAAGCCATTTCACATCCCAGCAGCTCAGTTTCCTCATGTCTGGTTTACAGTCAGAGGATCTGAAACTATTGTGTAACCTTAGTTGAGTTATACATTGGCATCTCTGGGCCTCAGTTTCCCCATTTGTAAAATGAGGGAGTTGGATTAGGTGGTCTCTAAGGCCTCTTTCAGCTGATCCTATGGTCCCAATACTTGTTAAAAGGACAATTCAAATGTGAGTTATTATCATACATTGGTCAATAAGAATCCATCAAGTGGGATAGTTGCCTACCAATTACCCCTCTCCATAGAGTTGACTTAAAGCCTACAAAACTGAAAAAACAAATATGCCAATCAGAAAAAACAAAAACAAATTTTAAAAACGGAAAACAAATAAAAAATGGAAAATGAATATAAAAAGATCTGCTCCATATATGTTACTGGCTCACATATTCTTGCATGTTTCCTATTGCTTTAGCTGTTGTGGGTATGCTGTGTATAGGAGACAGATCACAGTAAGTTTTCAGATGTTAAACAAGTGAATAACTGTATATGACCTATTGATTTATCAAGCAACTAAATGAACATTATGGAGCACAGTACTGTGTAGTGGAGAGAACCCCAGACTGGGCTCCTGAGATGTGAATTCAAACTCAGGACACTTAAGACACTTACTAACTGTAGGACCATGGACAAGTTACTTGGAGTCTTAGAAGGCAGTTTCTTCATCTGTGAAATGAGGCTTTTAATTCATATATTCCCGACCTGACAGGGTTGTTGCAAGAAAAGTGCTTTGTAAAGCTTTATAAAGCACTGAAGGTACCCAGCCAATTGTTACTAATTCACTAAGCTTTGGTGGAAAGCTGCTGAAGGCTACGGAGGGCAGCATTGCATAGAATCCTAGTTTAAAAGGGTATTCATCACATGACAATTCCCACCCCCCCCCTCCAATTCACCCTTATTGTGGGTAGAATGGGTAAAGGGTAGGGGAGATATTGGTTAGGCTGATTTAGCTAAAAGTCCGAGTTAAAGAAGATTTAAAAAAAAGAAGACAACATAGAATTGAGAGTTGTGAATGGTGATGGGCTTGGAGTCAAAGGGACTTGGGTTCAAAATCCATCTTGGATACTTGATAGCCATGTGACTAGGAGCCAGTCACTAAATTTCTCTGAGTCTCTGTTCAGTAAAATGGGAATAATAACTTCAGCTATTGTTATAAATTTCATTTATTTGTTTATTTTTAACTCACTTTTTTCCCATTTAACAAGCATCTATTATTTCTCCCTCCCACTTTCCGCCGCTGAAAAACAAACTGCTTGTAACAAATTTGCATAGTCAAGAAAAACATAGTCCCATTTTGTGTACCTCATTCTATCTATTTAGTACCTCACCTATCTGTCAGGTGAAAGGTTATTGTCATTTTACAATAAAGTGAGGATCCTAGGATTCTAGGATCATTGGTTGAGAGCTAGGAGGGACCCCAGAGACCACGTAATTCAACTCCTTAATTTCACTAATAAGGAAACTGAGGACCAGGACATTAAAAGATTTGCCCAAGGCCGTCTAGGTAGCAATGGTAGGACTTAAAATTCGAACCCAGATCCTGTGTGTTGACGGTCAATGGGCTTTCCACTGTTCTGTTAGTTCTCAACTCACTGGCCAATCACCTTGCAGATAGGGATGATGGGGAGTGGGGAGTGGGACCAGCTATTTGTCTGGGAGATTCCCATGAGTGTTTCAAGAAATAGGTAAAAATCATATGTAGTTGGCACATTCATTGTTTGAATGCAAACAAAGCTGTTAATGTGGTGCTAGAAAACATTTTGTTGCTTTCATTCTTATGTTGGCTAAATAATTCTCCGGCGTGGTCTATTTATTTGCTTTGAGAGATTCTTTTTATAGTATAGTTTAAAGGGAAACCTACAGTTCAACATATTCCAGAGGCAGCATAGGACAGGGAAAAGAGACCTGAGTTCAAATCCTGACTCTAATGCCAACGCTTTCCACCTGGATGACCTTGGGCCTCAGTTTCCTCACCTGCAAAATATAGAGGCTTGACTAGATGACCTATAAGGAATTTAATCCTATCACTCAAATCAATCATCCAAGCATTATTAGTGGATTCCTATGTGCCTGTCACTGTGCTAAGAATAATGTCTGTCATTTTGTGAATCATTGGTGGATTCCTCACCGATTCCAGATTCCAGTGGTAATCAATGATGTTTTGCTTTCTTGTTCATTCGTGTTGTTATTGTTCGGTCGTTTTATGTTGTGTCCAGCTCTCTGTGACCCCATTTGGGGTTTTCTTGGGAAAGATACTGGAGTAGTTTGCCATTTCCTTCTCCAACTCATTTTACAGATGAGGAAACTGAGGCAAACAGGGCAAAGTGACTTGCCCAAGGTCACACAGCTAGGAAGTGTCCAAGGCTGCATTTGCACTCAAGTTCTCCTGACTCCAGGCCAGGCACTCTGTGTACTATGGTGCCACCTCGCTGCCTTGCTCATCCTCGGGTTCACAGATTTGGAGATGAAAGCGACCTTAGTCCAACTTCCTTGTGCCAGCTGGCACCAGGGAATTGCCCAAGGGCTTCTGAATCCTAAAGTCAGTGTTTGAATTTCCTGGGAAATCCCCTGTTCATTCAGACTCCTTAGTCTTTTCAGGCCTGATCTCAGCTGCCACCCCCTACGAGAAGCCTTCCTTTATAGTTCCAGCCTGCTTGCCTCCCAAATTATCGTGTCTTCATTCTGCGTGTAATTGGTATTAACTTATCTGGGGACATATTTTCTTCCCAGGAGAGTGAGAGTTCAGTGTCTGATACCTCCCAGGCCATTAGTAAATGCTTGTTGAATTGAACTGAATTGAATAGAGTGCTGACCTCTCTCAAGAGGCCCTGGGTTCAAGGTTATGTCTCAGAGTCCTTGGTCACTGTCTAAGACTATAAGTTACAGACAAGTTGATGGAAGGAGCTTCCCGCCAGTAATTCTCTGTACTCCTGAAACCACAGATCAATGAATTTTCAAAAGAACCATGTGGAAGTCTCTTCCCATCCCTCTTATTTCTAGCAACCGTTCCCTCCATTGATTTTTCCAATTTATCTTGTAGATAGTTTGCTGGCACATAGCTATTTGCATATTGTTTCCCTCATCAGATCGTGAGCTCTCTTTCGCTGAGCTTAGCCCAGCACTTGGCACACAGTGGGTGCCTAATAAATGTTTATGGATGGAATGATTGAAATCATCGCACTTTCCTAGGAATGTCCCCTCCGTTCTTCAGTGACCCAGCCTCAGCCTGCTGAGTAATACAGAAAAAGACTCCAAACTTTATCCTTAGGACATCTGAATAGTTATTTATTGAGAAGCCACAGTTTACCACACTTTTCAACTGTAGGCTTTGTATAAGGCCAAAAGCAAGATAGATTCACTACTATACATAGAAAGGAAAAGCTTCTGGAGGGGCCCCCAGGGTCATGCAGTGACTGGTCAAAATGGAATGTACATGACATATAAAAAACATTGTGAACCAAAATAATTTAAACTATGGTTACATTCTACTGAAATAAATACCCATTATCTTATTATAAACACATTGTATAGCCTAGGATTGTAATTTAAATTTCATCTCTCTTTTTTTTTTACATTTATGATTATTGAAACTTTAAAAAGCAAAATGTTACCACTCGATAGGGCATGGGTCAGTAGAACGTGATTGCTTGGGCCTGGGCTTGCTGGGAAGGTTGTCTCCTCTTACTTGGGCTTAACCTGTGCTGGACATTGGAATGACTGATCCATTGGCACATCACTTTTTGTGGCTAACTGTATGGTCACATGAAAATACATTTCACAAGGACCCAAGAGAGGCTAGCTTAAATTCTGGGGGCCAAAGGAAGAACACAAAAAACTCAGTTATTGGAGCCTCATTTTTCCTTTTTGTTTAAAAAAAACCCAAAGCATTTTTATTTGGGTATTCTTTTATGCAGTTGGGGTCCACATAAAGAGAAACATGATGAACAGTACTTGAGGAACTCATCTTTACCACAATTTACCATCAGTGTGGAAACAGGCTGCGAAGGTAGCCTTGTTTAACTCTGCTTATGACAGGAACATACCAGTCTGTGTATTTTCCGTGAACTGTTTTTAAACAATGGTGCTCCATATTGCTTTGAATTTACAGCTACGAACCCAGGGAACCAATGAATCAATGGAGGTGCTAATCTCGGTACCACACAGCTATTGGTAAACTTCTCATGGGCATTTCGAGTGGACGGAAAATTCCCCTAATGTGGCTATAACTGAATAGGAGAGTAGGGGCATGCATTGATTACAAGGCTATGTCTTAGAGGACCCCTAGGACGGGGAGCTTGCTTTAATCGTCTTCTTCGTCTTCTTCATCACTGTCCTTCATGGTGATTCCCTGAAGACCCCCGCCTTCGCTCACTGAGGCCGTGGCTTCTTCTACAGTAAGTCGGTTTCGAATCGTGTCGTAGGTTTTACTGTTTAAGGTGGAGTCCAGTACCCCTTGTAATCGGAAGTCCCTATAAGTTTTCTAAAGAGGGAAAAGATGCAATGAGAAGGGAAACCGAAGCTTCGTGAGAGAGGAAAAAATAAAACAAGCAAGTTTTGTGAGGTGAGACAACCAACAGACCTCTCATGTTGCATTTTATTTGTTACTAAATCAAAAGCCATGATGTGGAAGTTAGTAAGTGCATTAGAAATTAAAATTCATTTCACGATAAGGAAGGAGGAATTGTAACCAGACACACTGCATCAGATATAGTGGCTTCTGAAGTGTCTGTTTATTCAAAGCCACCAAAAGAAATACCCTCCTACAACTTTCCTTCACTTACGCCTCATTTTTCCTCTTAAGTTAGCAACGTTAACTACTGAGAGATAGAATTAGGGGCATAAATACCAAAGTGAGAGGCCTGTGATCTTTTGTGATTTTTTTTTTTTGGTTGCATCCTGCTTTTTGGTATTTCAACTGCTCTTAGCTGCAGTAATCCAAACACAGTCTCGTTCACATGACAGACATATGTATGTCGGTATAGGGAACGGATCGCAAGCAGCGAAAGTTATGGCGAGGATGAGGCACTAATGTCTCATCAATATGTTGTATGAACATGACTCATTTTTAATCTTCTTTCTACAGAACTTGAGAATTAATTCTATCTATTTTATTTGGTACTTCTTATATGGATTTCAGGGTGTGGGGAAAATTTTTGACTCTTTTTTTTAAGAACAATGGATTGCATATTATTTGGTAATAAGAATTATTGAGGATGACCCAGAAGAGATTCATGCCATGGATCAAATGACTCAAGGTCCCTTCTATCTCTTGAGATTTTATCATATTAGAATCTCTGTCAGTTTCAGGATATTTGAAGCCTCACAGAAATCATATCTCTAGAAAATTCTATAAGATTGTTGGAAAATGACCAGGAACATCTTTCTTATGGTGATTTCATGAAAAAAATTTAAAAGATCTGTCTTTTCCTTCCATTAAATTATTGTCTTGCTGATAAACATTTTTCTACAACCACCACCTTTAGCCATTAAACTGTGAACTCCATGAGAACAGGGGTTGTCTTTTGCCTTTCTTTGAATCTCCAGAGCTTCACACAGTGCCTGGCACATAGTAGGTGCCCAGCAAATGTTATTAACTCCCTAGCACATCATAGATTGCTATGTCTTATCTCTGAAGTGAGGAGGTTGGATTGAATGACCTATGAGATTTTTCCAGCTCTGAATCTAGGCTCCTATGATTTCTGGGTCAAATCATAGCTTCTTCCTGAAGAGTTGAGGGTGTTAACTGAAATTGTTTATAAACGATTCCAGAACCTCCACTCATTCCAGGGAAGAAAGGTTAAATTAGTGGAATGCTCTTACGCAGACCAAATAGCTGGCAAGTGGACTGAATTTTTATTTTCATCATTTATTTTGATGTCCTGTACACACAGCTTCCATGATCTTTAGATTATGGTGGGAGGAAAGGAATCCCAGTCCTCTATTCTAGGTCAATACCAGGACTCTGGGCAAAGTCTCAGCTCTGCCTGTTAAGGCAGAAGAAAAAGCCAGTTTGTTTTTTGACTCAAGCATAGTTTGCATGGAGAACACATTCTCTGGGCACTGCATAGAAGGGATCTATTAAGCCCCTTTAGATAGCGGCTGAACTACATGTTCTCTTAAGATTCCTTCCATGTTTACAATTGTAAGACATTGCCTGCTTTGGTCTGTGATCAAACAGTCATCTAACCTTACTTCCCCATAGCCTGAATGCTCCATTGATGTGGAGACATCCCTGCAAGGTCCAGGGAGCGAGAAATCACTGGGAGGAGGGAATGAGGTTTCATCCTGGACGTCATCAAATCTAGTAGAATTAGGATATTAAGCATGCTCTTCTAACCTGAAGCTTTTCTTAAAGAGAACATTGGGCCATAATTATGGGAACATAAGAGAACACTGAAGCTCGTTGTACCTGAGTCTCCTCCTCTGCGATGTGAAGGGGCTGGACCAGATGGTCTCTGAGGACATTTTTGTCTCTAGATCTGTGGTCTATGCTACACTCACTATAGAAAACTTTGGAAGTTTCAAGTCTCTTCATAGATCAATGCTGGAAAATTCAGCAATGCAGCAGCACGTGTGGGTGTGCATATATGTATCCATGAACACACCTACATATGGATATACTTAATTAGAAGCACCTTTTCTTTTAATGCTCCCAAAATAAGGGTAAGGCAGAAAGGAGCCACATAAGGCTATTTATAACCAGCAGCCAGACAAGGGAAAATGGCCAGTAGACACCGCACCCCCTACCAAGTTAGCTGGAGTCACAAATTTGAGAATTAGGCTGGATCAGTATGTTGAGCTGTGATATTTCTTTTAACAGCTGTCATACACCTCTTCCTAGGATTTGATTTTGGAATTTAGAATCTTTGTAAGGCCAAATCTTCTTGAGAGCAAATTAATATAGATATTAATAATTTTCTTTAATTACCTCAAAATAAACTGTAATTGGTTTTAAGTTATTACTAGGGCTAAAGAGACTCTTAATATGTTTTCCTTAGGGGAAAAATACCCATCCAAGAAGAAAAATAGAAATACATCTTTATCCTTTTGAAAATAGAAATTCATCTAGATTTTACTTTCAAAATATTTTAAAAAGTAGCATATTTGGATTTATTCATTTTTTGAGCTGGCTTTTTTTAAATTTTTGCTGCATATGAATGTTTTTAAACACGACACTGAAAAGCCTCAAATGGAAACTGAAATGATCAAAAACGTATTTACCCCCTTCTGCGAGCTTATTATTTCATGTAAACCACTGTGATTTCACACTGAAATAATTATCATTAGTCCAAGGAGCACACACATACGAACAGGAAAAAAAATACTACTTTGAGGGTATGTGATCTCACCTTTGTGATCTCTTAGAGTTGATTGTATACAGCCATTGTAAAAGAAACTCCTTCAATTAACTATCAGGGCAATCTTGATTTACATTCTCATAGTGATCACAAGCACATATTTAGAAATAGTTATCCGGCAGGATTTCCATGAAATCAAGGGTGGAAAATTTTATTTAATTAAATGGGAAGCAGGATTGGTTAATCGGTAGGATTCATACTCGAGTACAATGAACTCATTTTTTTGGGAAATTGTCAGCACACTATAGTCTTTGTTGAACTGTTGTCTGATAAATCCATAGGGTCTTTGTCCAATTAGGGCAAAGATCTGATCTCAAATTTCATCTTTTTTTTTTTAACAAATACAATGAATCCACCACTCAGATAAAAATTTTAAAAGGATTATCTTATATCATTATTATTAAAATGATTAATTTTAGGATTATCTCATGGAGCTTATTATTTTCTTTCTTTCCTTTTCTTTTTCCTAGGACTACTCTTTTGGAAAAGAAGCCGCAGATATCTGATGAAACATGTGGGCATTAGCTGTTTGCAAAAAAGCATGTTGCCTTTTTTTTTTGGGTTTAATCTTTTACCTTTACCATCCTAATAAGTGTTTTCAGTTGATAAATATGAAGTTGCAAGTCCATCCGGTCTGTCAACCAGGTGCAAATCACGTTCATGGAACTGTTGTACCATTGCTGGAAAAAAGAGACAGAAGTTCTCCAGCAAGCATGTTATAAAGAGGCTTAGGTTTACGAAGCTACAAAGTCCAATGATTAAAGTGGTCGATGGAGAATTTCATCTTGAGAGAGCAGGGTGGATTTATACTTAACAAAAATCAAGTCCTTTCCTGTTGCAAAAAAAGCCCCAATTTATGTACTAGTGTGCCAACATGAAACATAATTCTTCTGCCCATGACCACTTTAACCTCAGAGTGTGGCCAAAACCACTGTCCCCTCGATTCACCCTTAGCTGGGCTTCGAAGTGACTTCTTTTTCTTATCATTTTTACGGTGTTGATAATGCACACCAATGCACGTCAGTTTCCCTAATACCATTTTTCCTAGTTCCCAAAGGCAGGCAATGACTCTTAATGCTGATAGAACTAAACACAGTCACTTACCACTTACCTTAAGGAAACTTCAAACCTCATCTGTGGAACTGGGAATCAGCCTGCGAGGGCCTCGAGGAGCCTGGATTAGGTAAGATGTCTTAGTGTGTTGGGGGCTTCCAGGCGCTAATACAATGAGTGTGGTTTATCTTTAGGACCCAAACGCACGCATGCAGCAGCTTATGTGACCTTGCCTGGACTGTGCAATCTGTTTTAATCTTAACACAAAAAATTATGAAAGATGAAAAAAGCAAATACAAATGAGCTCATTTCAAGCTGTTGAAATCATACTTCCCCCTTAAGGGGGTTAAATCTTGCTTCTTGCCTGTGAAAAATGCTTGAAGCTATGTCACTGCAGACTGCCACCCCTGCAGAGAAGGAAGTCTCTGGCGCGGTATAATTTTGTACTACTGCTCATATATTCATAAATCTCACTCGGAGACATATGAACAGTGTTATAAAGTGTCAGGGTAAAAAAAAAAACACCCTCATCTTTTATACTTCACCAGGTTTCATTGCGTTCTACTGTAATTTACAAAATGTGTATTCACCAAAGAATTTACAAATAAAAATGGAAAGCATCGAGGACAAAGAATGTTAGGGTGCATCTATGCGGCTGTAGTGGAAGAGATGCAGAAAGAATGGGCAGGGAATTTGTACCATGCATTCTCACGCACACACACACATCACACACCAGTGGGGATTCAAAAAGCATAAATAAAAACATGTTTCTTATGATAACTCCACCCTTTCTCACCTAAAGATCATCCAAAATCAGTTTATGCCTAACACTCACAGTTTTCCCAATCCTTATTTCAGACTTAATTTAAAAAAAATTAATCTCGAATTTTTCTTACAAGGTGAAATTTGGCAGTTTCTTCACCTTGCAAGAAACGAGGCCTGTCTCTGTCACCGTGGTTTTTTTTTTTTAAACATTTCCACCCCCCCCAAGTCATATTTGAAATCCATCATTTTTTTTTTGGCTCCTTCTTGTCCCAGCCAATTGCTGGTTCCCTCAGAACTCAGCACAGAAAAGAGCTCACACTACTGTGCTCAAGGCAGCCATGTGTCCTGACAGCCAAATCCTGCTCTTTTAAAGATTATGAAGTTGACATTCAAAATTCCTGGGGGCACCTTGCCCTTCAGCAGGGGGTGATTGCTGGATTCTTAGCTCTTGGTTTGGACCTGACTGGGGGAGAATGGGATGCAGAGCAGATTCTAAAATGGATGGGGTTTCTTACTACTTGTAAAGACTTCTCTAAAGGCAGAAAGGGGAGTTTCCTGGGGTCTAGTCACTCTGGATTCTAGGACTCTGGATATTAAAGATGCCTGGGCAGCCTAGAGCTAACCAACATCTTCCCTCACAGTGTCTGGGGTGTTTGGGACCCAGAGGCCAAAATTGCCCTGAGTGGGTTATGGCTTCAAACTCTACCCACTCTGGCCTTGGGCTGTCATGTCTGGAGTGCCTCAGACCCTCTCAGGATGGGACTGAGAATGGAATTCTGGATGTACAGAGATGGTTCAGTACTCCAAGCAAGCCCAAATGCCCAATCTGGAGAGGGATGTTTTCTGGAGTACTGCATCACCCACCAAGGGCCTCCAGATCTGTCACTGTCACACCAGGCCCAGGAGCCCACTGGCTGGCCCTGGATGGTTGGCCATGCCTTCCCAATGGGCTCTCCTTCTCCTTCCCAGGGGTGTTGCATCCTGAGGCATGTGGCATGCCTCAGAGGAAAGCGAAGGAGGCATGCGGCTCGCTGGCTTCTAGACAGTGGCATTTTGCTTTGGCTGTGAGAATAGACAAGCCACGCACCTCAGCCAAGAAGCCTGGTGTGACATGTCTTTTCTCTTCACTGAGAGACATGCCACCAAAAAAAAAAAAAAAGCTGCAAAGCCCCCCTCCTATTTTGTGTAAGCCGTGCTCATTCTGTTTCATTTCTCTTCCACATGGAGTTTGGAGAGTAAAAAAAAAAAATGCAGCCTACTACCGACATTGTAATCTGTCACCCAAGTGGGGTGGGCCACATGTACATCCAGGGCTCAGCGAGAAAGAGTTCTTACTTGCCACCCCAGCAAGTGCAACCATCCACAGGATGCCCGTGCCTCCTTGCACCTGGCCTGCCGGCTCATTCTAAGAGCTGTCAAATTCCCATCCAAAGAGGGAAAGGACATAAAGTACCTCCTTTCCAGACATAGACATCCCTTACGCCGAAGAGATGGCCTGGAAGGTACTTTAGGGTGCAATGCAATTACATCTTGGTTTATGGGATATGGTGCTTACATCCCAGGAGTTTGGGATGCTGGAAGAAGGTGAGAAAGAGATCCTGCCTTCTAATTGTGAACTTGGCCTATGTGTTACAACTCTTGTTCATCTCACAGTTTTTCGCCCTTTGGGGTGTCTGTCTGTTTAGGTTGATATCTGTTTCTCTCCCTGACTTCAGAAGTCCTTGTGGAATGGATGCCTTATGACTTCTCAGTTAATAAAATATTTGAGGCTTTCTCCTTTTGTTTTTATAGGTCTCCAACTCTGCCTTTTTGGGGAGTTTACAGTAGAATGTAAGCTTCTGGAAGGCAGGAGCTGTTTTTGTTACTACTACCATTCTGTCATTGCATCCTTCCCCGTCTACCACAGGGCTTTGTATATAGTTGGTGCTTAAAGAATGGAATTTGAGAGTATCTCAAAGTAGCAAACCGAGTCAATTAGCTCAGCAGATTTTTTAAAAGTCAGAAATTAGTCGTCAACAAGCATTTTAGAGTGTCTACTATGTGCTAAACATATAACACTAAGTACAGGGCGCTGAGAGCTGAGGATACAATTAAAGGATACACTAGAGTCCGTGCATTGGATTATGAGGGTAGAGATAGTAGGATGAATGTTTTTATTTCAAAATAAAATTAAAACATTAGCCCTAACCTTAACACTCATTTTGTCAGTTGATGCATCTGGTCGTTCTAGTATTAGTAAATGTCTGCTGGATTGGAATACCAGAATCACAATGAAATAATATTCATCATTCTTGGGACAGCAAAATGGCCAAGCAGGTAGTGCTGAACCTAAAGACAGGAAGCCTTGAGTTCAAATCCTGCCTCACATACTTACTTGTAAGTGTGACTTTGGTTTACTCACTTAGTCTCCCCAGCCTCAATTTCCTCATCTGTAAAATGGGGATAGTCATAGCACCTACCTCACAGGTTTCTTGTGAGGATCAAAGGACAGAACTCAAGCAAAATGCTTAGCAATTCTTAATGCACCTAATAAATTCTGGCCATTATTATTATTATGGTTTATACAATACTCTCATTTCTATTTCTGTATGTGATGCTCCCAATGGCCCCAAGATAAAAAATTAAGAATGTAGATAATAATTGTCATTCAGTTGCATCTAACACTTCATGACCCCATGGACCATACTGTCCATGGGTTTTCTTAGTAAAGACACTGGAGTGGTTTGCCATTTCCTTCTCTAGTGGATTAAGGTAAACGGGGTTAAGTGACTTGCCCAGGATCACACAGTTAGTAAGTATCTGAGGTTGGATTTGAACTTAGGTTTTCCTGACTCTAGTGTCAGCACCCTATTCACTGAGCTATCTAGCTGCCTCCTCTAGATAATAATAGTAATCATCAAAATTACAGAAGAATTTGAATGAAAACAATAATTATTACATTAATACTTAAAGAATGTCTTAAAGTTTGCAAGATGCCTTAGGGCAGACATGATCCTCTCCATTTTATGGATGAAGACTGAGGCTTGCATAGGTGCTGTGACTTTCCTGGGGTCACACAGTAGAGCTGAGGCCTTTTGATGCCAAGTGGGGCCTTTCACTGCACCACAGCACACTTAGGCGCCAAAGCTCTGGTCTCAGAACTCTTGAAATGCTTTCATTTCGTAGACATAACTTTCTCTAAATTCACAAGCCTTGGAAGGATGAGCTGACGACATATTATAAGGATCTCATAGTGAGAAAGAGGGGAAGAATCACGTAGAAAATTGAGTTCTGAACCCAGAGAGATCTGAGTTCAAGTCCTGACCCTTCTGCTTCCTACCTGAGGGACTTTACCAAATCCTTTGAGGTCTCTGGGCTTCAATTTCCTCACCTGTAAAATGAAGAGCTAGGATCCCCTGAGCTTTTCTGTGATGCATACTGAAAGTGACCTTCATTTACCCTCTTAATGTTCTAGGCAAATGTCTAGGACTACAAGTGACATATGAATTGCTGATTTGAATTGATGGAAGGATTTCATATACCAGGAGTTTCCCTACTCTGATGAAACAATGGATTAATCTAAGCATTTATTAAATGCCACATTAGGCATTAGAGAATTCAAAAGTATGGCCCCTCCCCCCCAAAAAAAAGAAAGAGAAAAAAAACCTAGCCAACATTTACATAACACCTACTATGTGCCAGGCATTGTGCTAAGCACTTTACAGATATTATCTCATTTGATCCTCACAACAACCCTGGGACATAGGTGCTATTATTATCCTCCCTGGGGCATAGGTGCTATTATTATCCTCCTTTTATAGATGAGGAAACTGAGGCAAACAGGGGTGAAATGACTTGCCCAGGGTCATATGACTAGTATGTG